ATTAATGATGCCCTAGTTGAGAGAGCATGGGAGTTAAAGTGAGACCCAATGGTCACTAGACTAGGGGTCCAAGGGAAACTGAATTTTCTCTTGTGGAGGTCTTAAAGAGAGAAGCTGCTCATCAGGAGGGTGTGGCCTAACTGTTGGAGAGGGCACCGGAGGTGGAATTCTGTGCTCCACTCAGCGTGCTTCTTCCCCAAGGGCCACTCACCCTTTCAAGATACAGAGGCTGCGGAGGTTGAAGTGCAAGGAACATCAAGGTGGCATTCCAGGGCTGCCTAAGAGGAGGCAGGAGGCGGGTGAGCCAGGCCTGCCGCTGGGGAGGAGCATGCTGCTGAGCCTGACCTCTAGCATCCCCATTACCACGGAACCCACGGCAGACATTGCTGCCTCTTAGGCCTGCATCTTCGGGGAGGATGTTCTAGAACTGAAGCTGAGCTTGTGCCGTGAACTTGTCATAGGAACCACTTCTGGATGGAAAACTTAAAAAATAGCCCATGTCTTCCCCAGCTTTCTTAGAGAGAGGATCCTGAACTGAATTTAAACTCTGGAGGGCAAGCCATCATTCACTGCTGTGTTGGGCTGTGATTTGGTGACGCCCTTAGGTCTGTTTGGGCGTCAGCTCTTTGGTCCTGTACCAAATGGCCCCAAACTCCGAGCCTTTTGGAATTCATCAGTCTGATTTTTATATTTATTCTTTTTTTTCTCCCTAATGTTTCACTTTGAAACTATATTAGTATAAAATAGGCAGTTGCCTCAAACCACCTTCTTATATAGTCTTTCTTGGGGTGGGAAATGAAATCATAAGCCTCGTAAGAACTGTGCATGAAATAAGAGTCCAGAGGCTTGGAGTGGCCTGAGGAGCTCTCTTCTGAGTTAAAGGATTGAACTCTGACATTTTTGACTGCTCAGAAGCCTTCTATGTTTTCTTTTAAGTCCTTGATATGGTCCAGTCTAGACAAATTGAACTCCAGAGGACAACAGCATGCATAATCTGGGCATAAGATCTTTGCCAAGGTCAATGGAGTCAGAAGGATACGATATCTGTACTAAGATCATTTTAGTTCAAAGGTGGCCAAACATACATACACACCTACACACACACACACACACACACACACACACACACACACACACACACACACACCATGCATAGCAGTGAAAGATGAAGCCACAAAACAGACTCACCCACCCAGTTTTTCACTTTTATAACTCTGTGTCCGAAAAATTTTTCTGAGGGTAAATAATTAGAATCATAACATTTTCAAGTTGGCAAGAACTTTTAAGACCCTTGAGTATTGCTCCCCATTTTAGTTCCGGAATCTTTCCTGTTACTTCCTGGACAGATGGGCCCTTTATCCCCTTCTTGCATAATACCAGTAAGGAGGAGCTCAGTGCTTTCTGAAGTCTGATTTCATCAATGGAAATTTCTGACAAGCAGTAACCACACTGTATCCCTCCCACATCTGATCTGCATTTTGTGTGCAGATGTTAGGTTTCTCCCAGTGTTTTAATGCAGCTGTCCTTTGGGGGTTATGGGGTGAGGGCTCACCTATGTGAACGGGTGGACAGATCTTACCTGTGCGGAGTGGATATTCCTGCTGTCAATCATCTTGGAAGCAGGTAGATCCTGAGATAGAAACTGCAAAGGCTAGCTTCTGTTTCTCTGAGACTTACTTTTTGGGCCCGACATTGATACATCTTGGAGTTCTTGAGCCTACCTGGGCTGATGGACATTGTCCCAGGAAAGAAGGCAGGTAGGCACCCTGTAGAGGACACAAAGGGAAGATGAATGAGTCACAGCTTGAAAGCAATGTGACCTGAATTCACATTACTCTTTGTGGTTATTTCCCCCTTATCAACCCTGAGCCTTTGGAAATGTCTGGTTTAAACGTTACAGCCTGGCCCCATTGTGTAATGGCATTAAAAGAAGAGCTGAGGTTCAGTAGTTATTTTCCTAGAACATTAGAGGGGGAATGGTGCCCTCTGAGGCCACTGTTGGCTTGGGTGATTACTGAGGGACTCTTAAAAGAAATGTGACTATTGGGGAACAAGAGCTCTACCCACTCTTCTCCACATGGTGATTCACCCATCACTGCCATCCTTTTATTAAGCAAGCTGCCAGATTACTTACAAAAGTAATTCCTTAAATTGGCCTGAAATCTGTCTCCCAGTCACTTTCACTCACAGGACTTAGTTTTTTCTCTCAAAATCACAGAGGACTATCATGAAAACTGCTCACATTCATTGAGTGCTTACTTTGTGCCGGGCACTTCACTGAGCACCATACTGTATCTCATTTATATTATTACCCCATTTTACAGATGGAGAAAGTGAGGCTGATGGAGGTAAAATAATTTGTCCAAGGCTTGATTCCAAATAAGTGGTAAGATTTGAACTCAAGCAGTCTGATGTCAGAGCCCACAGTTGTGAACTCTCAGAAATTCTGCTTGTCTTGTCCTGTCCCTGTGACAGCCTCAGTGAGATCTGCAGCCTGTGAGCCTCCTAGGCCTTTTTTCTTTTAGGCTGAATCCCCACCCCATCCCCTTGCCATTTATCCTTGTGCCATTTCTCTGGTTCCTCCTGACCAAGATCTGGGACAATGCAAAGAATGCAAAACCCAAGTCCACCTGACCCCCCCCATGACTTGTCCCACTTTGACCCCCAGGATAGCCTCTGCCAAAGCACTGTTTTAGCAGCTTTCCCCCAGGAGGCTGTATTTTTCCTGTCTGTCCTGAACATTTCTTGTGCTAGAACAGGCTCAGTTTTCCCTTTTGATAAATCTGGTCACCCTAAATATGGGCCTTTGAGCAAACAGGAGCGGCTGCCCCACGCAGCCCTCATTTCCAAATGCAGATTGACTCGGGCTGCTATTTTGGAGGTCTGGTGTCTTTCCCCACACACACTGGTTTTAAGGAAGTGGGACGGGATCTTGACAGAATGCTGGCTGGGGAAAGGCGCTAGGAGAGAAGACACACCTGGATAGTCTTTGTTTCCCAAAGTTCACAGAACACTGGATTTTTGAGAGGATCTGTGAAAAAGAGGGTCCTCGGTCACATGAAATTGGGAAATACAGCTTTACCAACCTCCCTCCTAGAGATTAGCATATTAAACATTTACAATCCTGGTAGTACAGAAATCTAACTGGTTTTGTTTAACCCATTTCTCCCATTTAAAAATGTAGCCTAGTAAAAATTTGGAAAACAATGCAGAATTTGCAAACGGGCACCCAATGGCCTAAAATAGTTCTCAGATAGGTTTGATTTGGCTTGCGTAGTGTTTAAATTTTGCTTTAAATTAGGCACTAGCACTTAACAACAGGAATGTTTCTCATAATAGGCTACATTTGCGTTTTCTTAAAAAAAATCAGAAGATCCAGACTGGTCCACATTCTTCCACTGCCTTCCTCTGGCAATGTAGCGGACCCCTGCTTTACTCATTTAGGATACTCGCCTGGCCCAGGAGTCCCCCAAGCTTGCTTTCTGTGCAGTGGGGATTTTCTTGGGTGAGAGTTGGCCTGGATGACCCTTGAGGCCCATTCATCCATTCATTCATGCATGTTATATATACTGACTGAGCTTCTAGATCCTGTGGACGCAAGATGTACACAACAGCCCCTGCCCTCTGGATTCTAGCGCTGGCATTCTAAGGTTCCAGTTATGAATGGCAGAATGAGGGGGGGTGCGGGGGGGTTGGGGAGAGGGAAGCTGGCAAGGCCAGAACCTAGTTTCCTGATTTTCAGGCCCTGGTGCTTGCCAAAGTCGTCTCCTATTCTCCACTGCGCTCTCTACTGCCACTCAACAGCCACTGTGAGCCCCAGGGAAGAAGCCACTAACTTGTTCCGTAACTTAGACGAGTTTCCACCCATCTCAGGGTCTCAGTTTCTCTCACTGTAGATGATGACCCGGTTGGAATAGAAAATTATGTGCGCCCCTTCCAGAGCTGGCATTCAGAGATGCTAAGTCTCCATAATCGAGGAATGTCTGACCAGGCCATTCCGGAGCGGTTCCATCGAATTCCAAGAAGCCCCCTCCCTCCTTTCCCCAGTCCCGGCCAGGCGGGGGCTGGAGCCAGAGGGCAGAGCGGGCCCGGGCTTCCCGCCCGGGGGCGGAGCCGCCCCCGGAGTCCGCCCCTCCACCTGGGGCTCGGCGGGCAGATGTTACAACTTTTTCTCATTCTCTCCCGCGGTGTCAACCCCAGACCCGCCCAACCCCTGCCTCCCTCCCCTTCCCTGCTGGGGTCCTGC